AGAGCTTATAGAATTAACGGTGTATCAGCTACTATACTAATTCACTGTAAACGATTTGTCGTTCGTTAATGCGGTCTTTTTTGATGTGTTCTCTTACGTGGTATCCCGTGCAGGCCTGTGCATGCCATCGCCGATCTCGCGAGGTGTAAGTACTCCCCCAGTACCCAGTATATAATTTCTCAGTACTCCTACTTATATCTTTTTTTTTCTTTCTCCACATTATAAACAAGCGAGAACACCGCCGATTAATGAGATCGCATGATCGTTTAATGTACCGCTGAGCTAAAAAGGCTAAGCACAGAGCACAGCGATTTGAAAACGGCAATCACGCAATTTTTCTCACGTCTCGGTGTAGTTCACGATGATTCCTAAGGCAGTAATTATAACTTTGTTCATGCTTGCGATAGCATACGTATACACCTGGCTTATCAGCAGCGCGCATGTCTAATTATCATAATTAATTAATTAATTTTCTAGTAAGAGTAGTATTTTTCTCTTTGCCAATAAATTAATCCCCTCACGATCTTTACATTTGATTTTGTCTTGTTCTACTTGAATGATCAATGTTCTACTTGAGTGATCTTGTTTTACTCAATTCCTGCACAGTAATTGTATCGCACTTATCATGTATTCGTAACATCCATCGATGTGAAACAAAAAGAAAACTCGGAGTTTCGCGTTTGAGTTTGGAAAAGCATTGTCGGCCGAGAATATCCCGAAGACGAGAGATTATATAGAGCGACGATTTAGAAAGATAGACACTGAGAAAAAAATAAAGAACGAATTATAATTCGTCGTTTTGTCCATGCGACGACGACGCGTGGACGTGAGAGGAGCTCTCTCCGGCCAGCCGAGAATCTTTAAATCATTACTGAATGCCCGGCTTTGCAGATTGACCGAGACGGCGAGGTTGCTGAAAAATGTTAAAAGCGTTTTCACCAGGCGCTCGAACGCCGCCTCCAGAGTCAATGTCGAGGTGGAGCTATCACGTAAGTTGTCTCTTCCACAGACACTTGCACACAGCCCGGAGATTTCCCATTTACGATGCCCAGGATCGGTCTCACCCCTTAATGATCTTCCAAATCGATTAACCCACCCTTTCGACAACTTTATAACTCTCGCGAAAATACTTTCTTACTGGGGTAAATTGTTTTAACGTGTTTCTTCATATACTTTACTTTTTCGCACTTATTTCTAATATGCTACTTTATTTCTAATACGAGCACGCGCTTAATTTCACCGGCTTTCCGTTCTTCTCGTCCGTCCGTTCGTCTCGTCCGTTTAGCTTTATTTTATCGATGAGTGTCGTCCCAAAATATTTTAAATTATTATTTCAAACGAATTCTACGTGTTTTAAATTTGATTATTTAACTGCACACTCTTGCACATGCACCATGTTTGATCTCGTAGCTGAAATATATTTACTTTTTAGCAGCCGATGCATTGCGCCAGGTGTACTGGAAGTCGCGCCCTTCTTTCATTTTTAATAGAAATCTTATGAAGGGGAGTACAGACTTTTGTACAACGCATAACACGTAATGCATAAAAAAATATACAAATCAAAGTTTTTCGTTTCTTTCTTTTCTATGAAATAAAGAACTCTGATTGATTCGATTTCTTATACTTTATGTGCAATGCGTTATGCAAGAATTTGTGCTCTCTGCTTAACACGTATTCTACAATCAACAAGTCATTAATAATAAATTAGAAGTCAGAAGCTAAAAATGAATCATAGTCAAATGTAAGAAGAATAATTGATTATGATTGGTCAATTTCTAGCATCTGTCTTCTGATTTATTACTAATGGCTTATTGTAGAATGTGCGTCGCAATACAGACTTTTGCATAACGCATAATGCATAGTGTATAAGCGAATCAACTAATCAGAATCTTTTCTTTCCTTCCATTCCATGGAAAAGAAGAATTTCGATTAGTTGATTCCCTGATGCACTATGTATTATGTGTTATGCAAAAGTCTGTGCTACAGCCTTTAAAGGTGAGAATATAGTCTTGCATGATGCATAATGCATAATGGATTATTTACAATAAACTATTACATAAGTTTTAAGTCTATAATATAGATTAACTTTAATCTTAGCTCAACTTGTTCTTTATCTTTTTTTTTAATTTTTAGAACTAGAAAAAGAAGAGTTAGTTGAACCAAGATTAAGATTAAATTATATTGATAGAAACGAGCATAAGAAATTGATCAATGATATATCAATGATGTATTCGATTATTTTTCATGTCAACTGTGATTGGTCAATTTTTTACGGTTTAAGACTTAAATTTAGATAATGGCTTATTATAGAAAGTTCGTAAAAAAATTAATCAATCAATTTTTTATTTCTTTCTTTTCTGTGAAATAAAATAATAGAAGAGATAATAATAGATTCTGATTGGTTGATTTTCTTATGCTTTATGTATTATGTGTTATACAAAAGTTTTGGTGCTTCGACTTTATAACAGCATCCGGTCACGAAATGACAAATTTTTTATTAGCCCGTCATTTTTGTCAGTAAGTTAAAATGAATAAAATAATATAAGTTAAAATAAAATAGTATATACATCCTTTTTTCTCACTTTTATTTTGACAAAACTACTTGTGGTCAGACTCTGTTATAAGGACTTTAATTTTTAAAACTTATCGGTATCATATCGAATGGCAGTGCGACAATTCCGGAACACCTGTATATATATATAGAGAGAGAGAGAACTATGATTTTAATTAGCGGAACTAGAGAACATTAATCCGAGACTAGAGACTAGTTTATTTCTTGCTATAAATAACGCTTTACTTGAATTCCAATATTTAAATATTAATACCGAGAATCCCCGGCTGCTATGGACGCGTCTAGTGATGAGCTGACAAATCTATCTTGAAACACGAAACTGTTTTACGCGATGTGAAATGTAATTTTCGTGAATATATACCCAGAGAAAAGTTTTTTCGATTTAAAGAAATGTTTCTTTGCTATATGGTTAAAGAAAATTTCTTTGATTTGAATCGTGAATGTCATTTCTTTGATTTAAACATTTTTTAAAATCAAATAAAAAATGTATTTTATTAAAGAAATTATGTTCAAGAAATCAAAGAAATGACATTCATGAAAATTTTTCAGAAAATTTTTTCATAAATTTTCATAAATTTTTTCTTTAACTGTATAGCAAAGAAAATTTTCTTTGAATTGAAGAAACCTTTCTCTGGGTGTGCGAATTACTTGAAAATTTATGAGAAAGATAACGGACAGTTGATCGCTTGACGTGGCGAATTAGACAAAGTAGAAGGCAGACTTCCGACGCTTTGCATACCCAATTAATAAATGTTCTTATAGCAGAGATTAATGAATTGCGACCTTTGTTATTGCGCATGCTGCGCGATGCAGATGGTTTCGCGTTCTCGCAAGAGGAAGGTGGCTCGGTGACTCAGACGGACGTGATCAGAGCCTACGACACGAATCTTCCGAAACCCGGTGGCATGTGATTTAAGCAGGGTGGCCGCCGTGCGGCAAAATGATGCAGGCTGCTCTTCCAAGCGGCCTGAGTGATGAGCTCCGCGTTTTACTCGATTGACGAGAGGATCATCAGAACGACATTGGGATCAGATCGACGATAAGTTTAAGGATCGAGAAGACTCGAGAGAAAAAATTCCTATTCTTTAATTCATATTTTACTAAGTTAGAATCTGACGATCCTAACGACAATGGCCTTTCAATCGCGACTGATCACTAAAGTATTTTATTTCGCTGGACTTATCACTCGGAAAAAGGGAATTGTATACTTGTAATCTAATGCGTGCATTCGAAATGGATGCGACTAATTAATATGTCAATAATGTTCGAAGAAAGGATTCCTCTTTGAATTACTGCGATCTACTTTTACAGAAGAAATGCTCTAATATTAGCACGAGTAATTATTTTGATACTTCATGAAATTTATTCTAATATATCGTAGAGATCTCGTCCTTAAAGTATCGGGTAGCAACACATTTCGCTCGCGATGCATTTGGAAACGCATTTCATGTTAGCGTCAAAATTGTGTACGCAGTCTTATATGGTTAAAAAAAAAAGAGAAGAAGAAGAAAACCGCATCTATTCTTGTAAAACGCAAGAACGGAATGCCGTTCTATTTCTTCTTCTAAGGAATAAAAATTGCGAATTGCGCAAATTGTAATTGCGATCTTAAATGTGTTAAAATATACACAGTATATATATATATATTTATTTTATACATAAATAGATTTGTCATGCGAGATAATTATCCTGGGTGCGCATTCGAGCGGGATCTTTCTGGAATATCTAATTTCGAAGATTAGAGTTTCGATGATTGCGACCGATGGAGGATTACGTTCGATTTTGTGCCAGAAAAAGACTGTTCCCTTTGTCCGTTATTATATGTATATTACATTACTCTTTACTTATTCTTTTAAATCGATAACGTAGATATTTCATTTTCAATGTACATACATGAAACTACATTGTTATCTAGTCAGAATCTGGTACCTATCAGAGATTCACTTTTCCGACCATCACACTCTTTTTTTAAGTTTATGACTGAGAAATTTAATAGATAAATATATTATATATGTAAGTGTATATACATACATATTTATATATGTATAATATACACACATATAATATGTGTAAAATAACAATTGTATATACTATGTTCGGAATAAAACGGTGATAAAGAAATTGTCTTAATCTTTTCCCAAACAAAAAATTATAACAAATTAAGTAGAAGTATACAGAATATCAATTAGTACTCATTATCTAATATTTGGAGGTATAATATCTGAAATCTTATTTTTATTAAAGTATTATTAAAGTTTATAGCAATAAATAATCGTACAAAGCGTGTAGATGATACTTCATTGAGTAAAAATACTTCTGTATAAATCATAAATAACTGAACATTCCAATATGTCATTGTCTTAAAGAGAATATTTACGGATAAACAATCAGCGTACTTTGCTAGTATATCGATATTTTATCTATTTTGTGGCGCTCGAAATAATAAAATAATTACGATTCTCTTTCGCTCTCGAGATAAATGCATGATGATAATTAAAATTGGCGATTGCACATCAATCGTCGATAATGTAATTCTGATTTGCCAATGCAGATTCAAGTTGTCCTCGGCGGTTCCAACATGAGACTGATGAAGAAGTTTTCGCGGTCCTCTCTGTAACGCGCCTTCAGAAGATATTCGCACGCAAAAGAGTTTAATGGGAAATTGTAGCCCAACGCGAATCTCTGGCAGTCTGTCAGCCAGGCCGCGATGTCGATAACGCGTTTCCTCCTCAAATCCGCATTTTTCAATTTCTTCTTATTTTGCGAGCGTACTTTCATCTCCAACGTAAACACGCGCCAACGATTAAAAAACCTGCGTGCAAGATATCGCTGCCCGCACGTCCAGACATCGCTCTTAGTTTCATCAATGACGTTCTGGTGGGCCGTGAATTTTATCCTGGTCAGTGTCGCTGTAAAAATGCGCCTAGCTAAAGATTGCTTGGATTCTATTACATTCTTGTCATCTCTTGAGTGATGATCATTGAAGTTATTATTAATAGATAAAGACTCTGAAGTCCCATGAATTCGCGCGGTTAACTGTTTCTTTGTGAAGAACGGTGCAAAATTCGCTTGAATTTCTTTCAGGCTATTTAATCCCAGAACCTTCATCAGAAAATGACCAACGTATGGCATACAAGGTGGATTACGTTTTGCTACGATCCAGATTTTTCGATACTTTGAACATCGTGGGCTTTTATAAATTTTGGACAACCTCTCCATCGTCGCGTATCTAAAACATATATGATTGTGTCGGTACTAAAACATTTTTTGTTTTTTTCGAAACAGAGTAATTAACAAAGCAAGAATCAGGAAATATTTCTCAGATTTTATTTATTAATTTATTAATTTATTCGCGTGTATAGTAAAAAAAACATTTTATATTTGTGTTAAAATCAATTCTTGTTGAAATTTTTATGTTGAATTTTTAACACATATTCAAATATATTTATTTAATGTGAATCCGTTATTTGAATATCTTATATTAAATTAATATTCAATATTTTTTTATGTCAAAATAATACAATCTATGCGTAAGTGAACAAATAACATAAAAATAATTTATTCTAAAATATAAATTCTAAGAATAAATGAATAAAATGTTCCAATTTAACATATTATAAATTTTACTAAAGAAATATGCTTACGCAAATTATGTCAATGTTACATTTTTTGCGTTAATTTTTTATATAATATTTGTATTACTTCGTAATATATTTATCTTATGTTAAATTTGAATGAAGACTGTTTAGGACACGTAAAATGTGTTAAATTTAACAGAATGTTTTGACTGTGTATTAAAAATGTATAATAAACTTATTCGTTTAGAGAAAGAAGATTACGGTAAATGTTACTAATTAATTATCAAAAGGAATTTTTTTTCTTTGATATTTAATTAGGAAATTCTAATGGATCTTAAACGACAAGAAACCTGCTGGCGTGATGAGTCCTCAGATAGGACCAGCTTTTCCAAAGCCTGTAAATCGGCGGAGCCTGTAGACCAGCCAGGATGGACCTGCAAGACTGAAAATTGCCGAGCGCAAAACACTTGTCAGCGGCATTGATAAATCTCGCCATGATCCTAGTCCTCATGTCGAGCTGCTTAATCGCGAGGATCTCGCTAACGGTCAGGCAGGCGATCCGGTGACTGAAGGCGATCCACGCACCCAAATTCGGTGCGTTGCGCGACGATCTCTGGTACATCAGCGCCTCAATCTCGGTCGTGGGAATGCGGACGAAGAGATCACGATCGATCGACGTGAGTTGCGCGGCGAAGGTAGTGCTGTCCAGGTCCCACATGGTGATACGAAGAGTCATCCTTAGCAATCTCCGCAATTGTGCCGTGCCTTCATCGACGTTGACGTTCCTGTTCGTCTTTCCATCGCGTTTGCGTGCGCCGTTGATAGAAAGCACACGGTCCAAGAGACTGCTAGATTTTCCTGTAATCGCAACTTCGATATTGTCGTTCTCGCTTGATATCCGATTTTTTCGTCGGTAAAAGAATTTTCCTTTCGATTGCTTCTCCTTCCCGCGTCGAAAATTCTGAAGAGACGCTAAGTGATGCCTCAGCTCTCTGTCATAAGATGCTTTGTGTAAGACATACATAACTGATTACAGACTGATATCTAATGATATCTAATCCTCTTACGACAAACGATCTCTTCTCGAATTATTTAATAAAAAATGCAATTGAACGTTAAATTGGACAATTAAATTTAATTAAAATTAAATTCTCACACTAAAATTTTTATTGAAGTTAAGATAATTGAATTGATCTTTCGTTGATTAAGATATAAATTACATATAAAATGATTGTATCCAATACGACCTACCTAAGCATTACGATTTTTGCTAATTGTATTCGACATTGAAAACTAGTAGTCAAGTTCAAATCAGGAAATATTTTTTAACATTAACTGAAAATGTGAGATTTTTTTATGGATGCAATAAAGATTTAACTATCCGTGTAATGTTATCTATAAATAGCAAGTAAACTATATTGGACACCTTATACGGCTTTTAGAACAATGACAAATATTCTTTTTGTATCACCTGTAGGCAGCCACTGCTGCCTGAGGCCTGTACCAATATTCTGGCGTCCAGAAGAGTATCACTCGTCCTCTAGTGACAGCACCAATAATACTGGATCCGCCAGGTGTCAAGGCAGTGCAAGAGATGCTGGCTGTCAACTGGCGGCGCGAAACCGGAAGTCTCAGCTCCGGATCTGAGGGCTGTTTGCGAATGTTGACCGCACTCGGTGACCTGAGAGTCTGCACGGATTCTCGCTCGCCAGGTTGCACCGACCACGGGCCGAGCGCATGGAAAAAATGCGCTGCCGAAGATAAGCCGTATCTTCGCGGATGTCTCTGACCCTTTAAGGATCGGCAATTGTCCTCCCAAATTGTGACGCCGTTCTCGAGCAACTTACGAGCATCGATGACGTCCTCGTAGCTCGAATCACCGCGATAAGGACCCAGAATCAATTCGGAATTGCATTTCTCCGACACACCGAAGCCAAAACGCGATATTTTTAAAGTCCCTTTCGGCTCATTCTGATATTGTTGTTGACGTTTGCCATACTTATTTTCCAAATGCTCTACGAAATCGTCTTCGAAAAACATGTTTCGACGTTCTAAATGTTTTCGAATGTTTAATGTAATGTATTTCGATTGGGATATTTGCATTTCTAATATATTTATCGGATTCATTTAGTCGATAAATTATATTATTGTTCTTACAATTTTTTTAAACCCATAACAGAAGTACATACTTAAAAATAAATTTTCAAAGTCTCTATGTTATTAAAAATTATTATATAAAGAAAATAAAAAAATGTTTTCGTTTACATAAAAAATTAGAACACTTGAAATTATCACAAATATACGATAATTAGTCTACATAAATAAAACAAAACTGTGAAAAATAAAATTGAAATGTAAAATTATTCCCAAGGACCAGAACTCAGTTACGCTTCAGTTATGGGTTAAATTTCTATTATTAGGGAAACTTGAATCTAAAACGTATCTAAGTAGATAAGGAAAATTTATGACTTTCGCAAATCTAACCGTGACATCGGTTGTGCTTTCCAAGAACATTTATGCCGACACTGTTATCCAGTTGACAGACGTTGCAAGGCGAACTTTTGCAACTTGCGGCGTAATCGCAATGACATACATTGCGACTTCTTGCGAAAAGGACATTACAGAGTCCGCCGGCACGTTGAAATCTTGCCCGACCATCAAACTTTGTCTGACACGGCCAACTATGACAGGATTTCTCGCAAGCAATATAACGCGGCGTGCGATCTTCCAGCTCGTATCTAAGATCCTCTAGGCTGGCTCCAGCGAATCTCACCGGAACCGGCGTGTAATTGCCGTTCATCAACTCGTTGTAACGCGGTCCGAGATACAAATTCTTCTCGGTCCATGTTGGAGCAACATAGTCGCCGGCACCTCCATAATGATTCCATACTCTGTACGCATTTTGTTTTTTGGACATGATATTATCACTAATCAGTATTCGTTAAAAAATTTCCTAATATTATTTCCTTAATATTTATGGTCCATTTTATTTTAAATTAATGTATTTTTGTTTGAAATTATAATATAATTAAATGATCTCTTTCATTTTGAAGAATAAAATCCGAAAAATAAGATTATGTAATTTAAAATTATGTGAAGTTGTAAAAAACATTTGTTATTTGTTTTCAAAACGTATGTAGTTGAAGACTGTCCAGATTCACTGGACCCATAAATACCAATTACAATTATTCATGATGTCAAGAGAATTGAAACGTTTTTGCTGAGACAAAATCGAAACTCGCCATTAAAAATAAATTTAGCTATTAAATACATTCGCGAATAGCATAAGTAATGTAAAAAGATAAAAATTAATTTACATCGATCATCACCTGAATATCGATCTTTTGCACCTCGCGTCGCGATTACTCCTGATTTCTATCTCAGACGACAGCAAATATAAAGCGCTGCTGCTCGATGAGCTCGCCGCCGTCGTTTCGGACAACGAGCTACCATTCGTCTTGTATGCCAGTAATCTTTGTACCTGCTCACACCAGATTTTCCAAGAAACCTTGCGTCGCTCACCACCCAGCTCGTAATAATTAACTCGACTGTCAATGAATCTAGGGCAATAAGTCTGAGATAAACCGAATGTAAAAATCCACTTTCTTTAAGAGAAAATTGATTAAAGATTTATATTTTTCAATTTCAGGGCTCTTATTCTGTAACTTTTAATATCGGCTGTGTTCCAAAATTCAATGTCAGCACTGAAAATTTATAGTTTACATTACATGCACTATAAATATATATTTCTGCACTGACAATAAATTTTGGAACAACTATTATCGTACCATCACTATACAGCTTTTTTATCATATTTAATGCCTGCACAATAATAATGTAATAATCAATACTATTCTTAAGAGTTACGAGTATAAGGACCCTGCTTAACGCAAGAGGAAAGAAAGAAAAAATAGAGACTGTGATTATTTTATATCCCTCACTTTGTCTGAAGGAGTATACCTTGCCTTCAGAGTCCTGCGATGTCTCCTCCTAAACACGCTGAGCGTAACATATTCTAAGGGATACACAGACACGAGTTCGAAGCTCTCAATACTGGCGTCAATACAAGATGGGCAAAAGAAACCGGGATTAGTCTGAAGGATGTCGGCAGCAACGATCAACTTAGTCGGTGTAAGACCCAAAGTGACCTGACGAATTCCTCGTCCGTTCCTCGTGGTCTCCGCGAACGGCGACTCCACTAGAATTATCTCAGAGAACTCGTGGTACTCCGACAGCAGTAATTTGCGTATTCTATTATCCCGCGACCGATCGGACAATCTCGTTCCACGTGACGCGTTCATGGATAGCTTCTCTCGCATGGCGAGGAAGGGGATGGTATCGCACCGCACGAATCATCTATGAGATTCTACATGAACGAGGGATTTTTAAAGCGCTCGTTTACCTCCCAGTACCTAACCGTGCTAGATTAACACTTTCTTGATCGAAACGTCAGGGGAAGATGCGTACCGTCATTATTCACAGACAACTTCTCGCTTCTTGGGAATCGTTCTAAAACATAATAAGTGTGTAATACTTAAATATGCTCATGCAATACTGACCCTCTGAGATTGATCAAAATCGAGTGCTACGGAGACATAAGTGCTTCAAAATCAAACACTTTACGCGCGCGCGTTTTTTTTTTTTTTTTTTTTTTTAGAGAGAGAGAGAGATGGAGAGATCTCATAATTTCATAATTATAAATCTTTTTGTAAAAAAGTCATTTCATTTTTTTAATGTTTATATTTCAAATTTAAATTATTCCTATTAAAATATATTTAGTTTTTACTTTTTTACACGAGTTATATCATTTTTTTTAGTTGTTCGAAATTAATTAGTGCTTTTTAATTAAATTGAATGGGTCTTATAAATCCAATGTCAACTCCGAAGAGTTAACATTAAAGTTGTAAAATTAATGTTTTTTGGCTATTAAGTTTATGTCTATAATAACAAAATTCGTAGGTATATTCTTAATCATGGCCACAATTTTTAATTAATAAAAAACTTGAATGCCTCATGGATTTCATATATTAATTTAGGAAATCGATAAGGGGTTCAAGATCAAATATTATTATACGTGTCGTTGATTTTATTTAAAAATTCAACATTTCGTCGAATTTTCCGTTAAGATTCGTACATAGCCGCAGTAGATTACATTTAAGACTACGCGATAAATACTGGTCGTGAAACCTCGTCTCGATTAATAAGAATTAGCTCCTTACTTTCGGTGTATAATACGATAATAAATAAGATATAAAAACATGTAGGTGTAAAAGAACCTCGCCAATAGGGAGAGCGCCTTTTCACTTATATAATTAAGTCGAAATGGTGTTAGCGAAACGTGCAAAAATGTACAAAATTTACGAAGATACAAGATGATTGTTGCTACGTCTTTTCGACTCGATTCTTATCGACTACTATTTTCCGGATTCACTTTAATGGTGACTTTGTTGCTGAGAGCGGAAGCAAGCTTCTCGATGTTGCTCTGAAGAAGCTTGTTTGGCTCTGGATTCGTTGTTTCATTGCTAGATGTCGTCGCGTTCTCATGAATAGTCTTCACGGGCGACTGATTTTCCTAAAATGCAAAAACAAGTTCTCATTTTTTTTTCGGAATGTCGTATTTTCTTTGAGAAAGAATTACAATATAAAATGCTATATAAAATTGACAATTAAATAATTCGATAAATTCCAGAAATGTTCAAGAAAAAATATGCAGTCGAAGTATTTATAACAATAAAAGTTTTAATGTCTTCCACTGATTTAACATTATTTTTTACATTTAGGAGAAGATATATATAATAATGAATTATATAAAAGTGACAACTATATAAGTTTATGTATAAATATATATAAATATAGAATTAATATATTAACATAAATATATATTAGAGATATATATATTATAATATATAAGAATTAACATAATATACATAATATAGTTGACTGAATTTTATAGTTATTGTAAAAAATAGTTTATTCAACTCCATGCATTAGTTTATTCGACTATGTATATACATTTATTCTATGTAAAAAAACTTGTACAATTGTCACTTTTATAGTTGCCATCATATTATGTTTTTCTCTGAGCGTATGACTAATCTTATTCTGCGGTAATTCATGATTTTGTTTTATTAGTATCGCTTACGCCTTCAGTCTTTCTTCTGAGGTTCGACCTCTGCAGGGTCGCGGCAAGCTCGTTCTGCAGCCTGGATACGACAGGGCTATTGTCCGACTCGTCAACACCGTTTTTGTCGCGACTCGGCTGTTGCGGCAAGAATTCCAACCTGGATGGCTGCTTCGTCTCACCCTCGTATGACCCTATCCTGATGGCCACCTTGCCACTGGGTAACTTTGAAGGCTGAGCGCTGTTGGTTGGCGAGACCGGTGCAGCCGAATTCTTTGCGAGTTCCGCAACGGGGCTCGTCGCGGCGTCCTTGGGAATCTTGCTTGCAGTACCAACGTGTCGCGGACTATTGTTCGTTGAGGAAGGGCTCGTCACTGGGAAGTACGTTGGCGGTGGTTTCGGCACTGTATTGGGCGTCTCCTTCAACTTGAACGATTCGATGCTTTGCATCTCCACCGAGTCATCACTGTTCTGATTTTTAGAAGGAAGCGGAAGCGGAGGTGCTGGCGGTGGCACCGGAGGACCTGTTGTTGTCGACACCGTTGTTGTTGTCTCATTGAGCATTCTCTTCTGCTGTTCCTGAGAATGTAAACAAAACATATTGTTACGTCGTTTAATAAAAAGTTTGTAGTTTGAATATATTATATATGTATACAAAAAATTTTAAAATTATAATACTGTGCAAAAATAAAATTATATATTAAAAGGATTTAGTACACATAAAAGTATCATTCTATTGCTAAGAAAAATTATAAATAATCCGTTTTTACTCTTTTTCTTTTAAATAACGGTTATTTTTAACAAAGAATATTTTCTTAATAATAGTCTTAAACTTACTTATTACAAAAGGAGGAAAATTCATTATTATATTATTCAAAACATAAATTTATTTTCTTTCAAAGAATAAAATTTTATTGAAAAGTGACTTTATATAATAAGCAAATCAAAACTTTAATGATCTTGATTGAAGTATTAAATTTACTAAGATTCAGATTATATACTGTAGGTTTGAAAATATTAATTTAAAAAATTTGAAACAAGTAGTTAATATTTAAATAACAATATATTTTTTTCTATGTGCATATCACGCGTATTTTATTAATTTAAAAAACTACGATTAAAAATTATTAATATATATATTCTAAAATAGAATATGTTGTATTTTCAAAATGTATTCTTAATTACACAGAACAATATTAAATATGTTTAACAAATTAATAAACTGTCCTTGGACACACGTGCTAGAGTTGTAAATTAAATTGCATATTAATGCTAATTGCACATTAACGCTAATTGTTTTGTATATAATAACTAACGTTGTAAGGAGTGATTGTGACCAGCGCTTGTTTCCTTACTGAGTCGGTTGTATTATTCGCCTTCGAGTTTTTATCCATATTTAATTCTGAATATTTTTAACAATATTTATAGCAATAGTGATACAAGAAATTTAATACATCATGTATTCCACTCTCCACGTGAGTTAGTCCTTTTTTTTGCTTGCACTTTTTACATTCATCGTGAGATCACACATACATCGAACGGTCACATATATTATTTTCTATTAAATTTCACATGTACGAAACAGACTTTGTCTCTAACGTATATAGATTACATTAAAACAATCTTATTTATGGCAGTGTTCGTTTATTTCTTAAATATCTTAAAAGTCTTCAATTTTTTCATAAAATTTTCTTCAGCCTTTCGGAGTACCAATTAAATAGAATTATTCGTGTTGACAAAAAATTTTTTTTTACGTGTTGATGTTTTGATGAATATTCTCTCCTCTCTTCGCCACAAAATTTATTTCTTTATCCCGCTATTTTCTTCGAATCACGATCGAAGTGGCGATCACGCGTTTTTGCGGTATTTATTTCGCGGACCGCCGATCGCACGACGTGACGATGGTGAACGAGCAACTGAAGAAACGCAAGAAGAGCGCACGTTACGTCGCCTTACGCCGGCGGTTCTTATGTAAGCCCTATTATTTTGCACATCCGCCACAATTCGTAGGAAACTGCAGTGTTCGAGGCTGTGAGGAAAAAATGTGGCACAAGACCTCGCGTCGACGCGACGCGGCGTGTCGCGTTGCAACTCCCGGTATCGGATGCCTCGTACACGACGTGACGGTGCTATGATCACCGTCGCTCTTACGACGAATGAATCCACGAACGTCTCGATAACGATGATTAATGGACGATAAGGCGGTAACATAAGCTGTCAATCGGCCTTCTCGCTTGTGTAACAGTCACCTGCTCGCGGGAAAAAGTAAAGCAGTGATTTATCAACGATAACACGCTCGACTCTACTCGAAGAAAATAATATCCGGATTTCTCTTCGAAAAACGAGAAATATGTACGCGCACGAAATCACTTTGTTGCAACACACTATGATTTAGAGTTACACGTTTTAATCTAGAGAGACAGTCGTTCCCGTTATTCCTGTTATCCCGACAATCCGAAGACACTCGAGATACCGCTTGGTTTTGAATGCAGCTTTCGAATAATAATTATTAGCAATTAATTTCCGCAGCAGGTTTATTATTATTATTTCGTTGATTAAACTGTCATAAATGTTTCTACGTCAAAAACGGTGTATCGAGAATGATTGTAATGCGCGCTCTCGAGCAATTAATATAATTAGTTTATGTATAAACTACTTCCGCGATCAAACGGTCTATCTGCGATATCGTTCGTACATTTTACTTCCCGCGTGGTAATGCAAGAACTGAAACAAAATGTTGGAACATACGTGACTTTAAGGTGTGCAAACTGCTCGCTATCTCTCGACGTTTCAACAATTACTACCGAGCAGCCAATGTGTGCACCACACAGGTATATACACAGGTAAATATATTGGCGCGTCAGCAACGCATGCACACACGCATACGTGCATGACGATTACGTAGTCTGTACGCCACACCGACGACTATTCCGGAGTCTTCATAATTTCGTGCTCTTATCTGTTTGCACCGCCGGATCGTTGCTTAGCGGTTGTGTAATTAAAAATTCGTTACTCGAGCCGCCAGTTAACTATGCCTTGAAAATACGCAAGAAAAAGATGCATGCGGGTCGAAAGACCTTATATCTTCGCCATCTATTCACTTCGACATCTCGTTAAAGCGAAATTAACTTGATATACGATAAAAACGGCTATTGTTTTCGAGCGCGTTATATATCGTGCTTTCGCGCTTTAATTTTACGTTGTTAATTACGATCACCTTCGGAGAATTATCGTAATTGATATCAGTGAAACCTTACATTATACTTCAATTGCTTTTAATTTTTTAGTATTTGATAACTTATTGATAACTCGTCGATAACTTTTGATAATTTTGATTAGTTTGACTTTTTACAATTCAATTTACGTTTCGTCTAAAATTGATTCATTTTTTAAGATCAATTTTATTGCTGACATTACGCCAACCTCGACTACATGTTGTTAATATTTGATTGCAATTATAACATACAACACATTACGTCACTAATCGGTTTG